GACCTAAGTAGGTTAACGTACTTTCTGGGGTATTCCTTTTCGAAGAAGGGAGCCCATCAGAGCTTCGTGGTCAACTGAGCCGAAGGTTCTTTTCAGGTCAAGTAACACTGCGATCGTTGGCCGACGATGGGTGTGACACAGCTCAAGGATCTGACGCAACGTAAACATTTGATCAATACATCCACGGCCAGGCCGGAATCCGACTTGCTGCTCACGGATGTTGGTCTCTCATAAAGGCATNGTTGTGGGATCCTTTCTTAGAAATAGGAGCCATCAGTGAATTGCCCCAAGATGAAGGAATGTGCTCTTGCATCCAAATGTTTCGCAGTAGGGTAGTAATAGAGCTTACTAGGTTGTCACCTCCCATCTTGAAAAGAGTGAGAGGGAGCTGATCCGATCCTGCTACCTTTTCTTTCTTCGGAGCTTGAATGCAAGACCGAACTTCTGCTTCTGTTGGAGGATTGCATGACACTACCCACGGAGCTTCAGTTGCAGCTGAAGCAGCCTGGTTAGCACTAGGCAAACTGAACTGTTCTCTGAAGTATTCTACCCAGCGATCGAGTCGTTGATTCCTATTGTGAATAGCTTATCCCCTCTTATCGCAGACTGTTTCACTAACTGTATTTCGCCGACCTCCCGTATCGCGTATCAGTCGGAGCAGTCTTTGACCATTACCTGATGCAGCCGCTACTTCCATCTCACTAGATATTGCTGCCCACCAGTTATCCCGGTCCTTCTTGAGCTGACTTTTTAGATCTATCCTGGCAGGTCGGGATTTGTCGTTTTTTTCATCAAAACTACTGATTCCTGAGATATTCAACGCCTCCGACGGGTTTGAGGCTCAGACCCACAAGCAACATCCGCTGCGGAATTCATTGCTCGCCTAATCTGATCCTACTGCTCATGTACATCACCGCGTTGAGGCGCACTGGTTCTGATTCATAGCTCACGCGAACTACTGGAACAGATAGTCGATGATGAGCTGTACGAATTTGCTGAATTCGTCGCCGGCCAGTCAGTCGAAGAGTGAACTGCATCAAAATAATGCGTCATCAGACTCAGCGCAGGTGGTCCAATAGGATCTGCAATTTTGCACCAAGCCACGCCAGTGGCAACTTACTGCTATGTGGTCGATTTGAGTTAGCGTACCAGTTGAAATGGAGCTCCGCGTTGCTGTCCGTCGAGAGCTGAGTCAAAAGTTGGTGCTGCTTAGGAACGGATGATGGTCTACGCAGAATCGAAGAAATTGATCGCCGTTATCTGTTGGTTGGCTGGGCAGAGCACAACTACCGCCTAGTTTTCCAACCTGCGCGTTGAAGTCACCTGCAAGTATAACTATGTCGGAGCTTCTACTCAACCGCAAGAGATCGATGAGTTCATTGTAGAAAGCTTCCTTTTTGGTATCAGAACTGCAATTGGTCGGTGCATATGCTGATGCGATCAACAAACACCTTTTGTTGTTGCTTCCCTTCCGGACGATGATTGAACCCTGGAGACGCACTGCACATAAACGACTGTTGGCGGAAATCCAATCGATAAGAGAGGACTCCAACCTGTTTCTGAGTACAATAACTACCCCACGCTGACCTACTGAGCGGGCTTCGTCGTCGCCTGATGTGCGAAGAACATATCTCGAAGTCAAATCTGGCGCGCTCAAGTGGCTTAGAGTACATGTACAAAGAGAGCACGGAAAAGTAGACGATGGGCAGAAATACCCAAAATGTGACCAAGCCATCGGAGGCGGCGTAGAGCGATTATCTCTTTCAGAGAATGACTATCCCCACCCAACACACGACGACAAACCTCGTCATTACTCACTCGATGTTCTCACCAAACACGAGCATTGCTTCGCAGACACCGGCGTCGAATGCAGAAAGTTGGTTAGCATCCTCAACGCGCAGAGACAAGATCTCGCAACTGTAAAGCAGAATATTGCGAACCGCGACAATATACAGTCTTCCCTCCAGGGACAGTCGGACGTTATGGCGGCGCCACGGATACCGCAGGCATCGGGTGAGGCAAAGCGAAGGCCTATCTACGTAGATCGTTTGCTTTTCCATTATGTTCATCGAATGAGATTTCAACTCGAATCGAATCCCCAGCCTAGAGGATTAGGAGACTGGACTTTGTCTAACCTCTACTCTTTAATTCTTCAGGAATAAAATATTTTACCGTCATTATAACCATCCTGTGTTGCTCGATGGGTCCCAGAGGTCCAGATCCCTTCACACCACATCAAGTTGCAGTCTTATCATGATAGCGTCCCCTCTCTTGGCCTTCGATAAACAGGCAGGCGACTCATGGTAGATAAACATTGTTTTGTATTTGAGCATGATACACACATGGGAAAACCCATAGTAAGAGTAGTAATGACAGTTGTGAAATCAAGACCAAGTAAACTCGCTCATTTCAGACTACAAAACTGAGAAAATGATTGTGAAGAAACAAATGAAAAGAAAAGAAAAACAACAAAACAAAACAGGGTCTAGTGGTCTAGGATGCGCAGATTACCGGAGACAATTTTGTTCTCCAGTATGGCTCCGGAAGGCATGGTGATGAGGTTGCCGAAATTTGCAATAATGATCACTGTCCCCTGGAAATTGAAAAAAGAAACTTCAGTACAGGCCCGGCAAACAGATGATGGAAACCATTTCTGCAAAAGTGTTCCGAAGCTTGTTTAAATGAGATCAAAAGAACCAAAGAATTTGCTTCGGTTTTCTGATCTACAACAATATTATAAAGGAATGACTAATATAACTTCACCTGGACGCAGCTTCCGAGTTATGTAGCCCTGAGGCAACCTGTCCATCCCGTGCCAAGTAAGCTTCAATTATGGTTCTGTCACTGTGAGCGAAGGAGACGCTCTTCATCCCCTTCATCTACCTAGCGAACTGCTTTTTTCTTTCTTTTGTCCCGACTGCTTGGGGAATTATTGCGTGGTTTGTTTGAGAGTCCTGGTTGTCTGGAACGGATTTTGTAGTGGTTGGCTCCATCGGAACACTGTGATGCGTGTGGTACCAAGTGCTTCATGAACTAAGTTTATGCGACGTTAATCATTGCTTATTTAGGAGCGCAGTAAAATACAGTTGACCAGTAGCACTCTTAATTGTCTCTCGTTTCAGATACAATGGGAGTCAGAGTAACGGACAACTACTCCGAGGACCTTCTTCCGTCACCAAGCAGTAAACCTACCACCAGAACCCAGGCTTCTCGAAATCTTTGGTTCCCAAGCCCGGCAATCTCCGTGAATCTACGAAAGCACGTTTACCGTTTAAGAACGCACTGGTTTGTGTCTATGAATCAAAATCTGCGTGTTTGATCCTGCTCATTGTTTGTCCGGTATGCGAATGGTTCAGATGCGCCATTCGAATTCGTCAAAACACACCCCCTGCTTGGATTTTGAGGATCCCGGCGATATTTGTTGAGTAAACGATGTATACAGCTATAGGTGCAGATCAGGTTATTACTTAAGGAGTTGTATGCACCATAGAAACGAATGAATGAATGAAACAGCTCCTCATTTGGTACGGGATCGTGCAGCTTAGGCACGTGGTGGTACCGCTTTAAACTGTGAAGATCTCTCCTACTGTCGAAGAGAAACTCCAGGTAACCTGCACCCTAACAAAATTTTGCGGGATAATGATTTGATTAGTAAACCAGACTGTTCCACAATAACGTTCCATTGTACGTTCTCCAGGTCTGACGATGTGTTAGAGCAAGCTAGATCGCGTCTGACTCTATTGTCATTTGAGAATTAATAAATAAAGTATCCAAACTAAGCCGCGGCTAATAACTTAAAATAAGACTGTATTGAATAAATTTTCATGCTTACTTTCAGTGTGATATTCTTGCCAAAGAAGACGTCTCCGGTTACCGTTAAATGGTCCAGCTCCAACATGTCTGGGATGCTTGCAAACCGGGTGAGGAAATCTTTCACCTTTTTGAAGTGACTTCCAAGTTTAACCAGAGGTACAGAGGGGAAACTGCGTAATGGGGACAACATTAAACGGCCAGCTTCTAGTACATATAGGTTGGACATGACCAGTAGTAGGTCCGAAGTGGTTTTCACCGGTAAGAACCGACTTCGAGGGACATTGATACCTGTTCGGTGGAACAAAAAAAACAGTAGCGTGTTTTTAGGCAAAAAACAATAACCCAGTTAGTCAGTAATGAACAAATCTTTAACAAATAACATTCGTTGGGTGGGTTGGTTGGTTGGTTGAGGGTGGGAAACTCACCTATTGGACTGTGAGATAGGGATAGATAGGAAGGAATTCATGATAATCAATTAAACATCTGAACAATATCTTCGGGCTGTCTAATTTGTTGCCAGTGTACTATTATCGGTGCTTTGTTCAATGATTGTTCATTTGATTTTACAAGCAATCGAAACAAGCCATCTTGGCTGCTCCGTGTTCTTCTTGAGGGAACACAGTCATGATGGATGCCAACACCCCGCTAAGGGGGATAGGGTGTTGGCATCCATCATGTATGGGTTCCTTCAAGATCAACACTGGGAGCAACAAACCGAATTCAGATTAGTATACTTCGCTGGCTAGGACACTATTGCCAATGCCCAGCTACTGTCTACCACATCGCGCTTTATTTGCTATAACCGCTTCGGGCTGGAGGACAACATATGACGTGGAATTTAGGCATGAAGAAATGCACAGCAATTAGGTAGAGCAGGTGTTTCACGCCTTCTAGGTTCGGGTCCGAAAGACTCCACAACTGATACATTGAAGGATATGGCAGTTAACCGACAGCAGTGGCGTTCTTGTTGTCGTTCCTTATCAGGTCAGAATGCTTGAAACGATATGTATGCAGGGTTCGACTGTGTACTCCGTGCGCTGACCATAGAGGTTCACCTTATTCTCCCTACTTCGAAATAGGTCCAATCCCTGTCCACCTTAAATTTTACCACTAACCTTGTATGCATTGTGAGTTTGGCAGTGAGCAGTGAAGTTTGCCTCACTGTATTTCGCTGTTCGGTGATGGTGATGATACCTCATTGAAAAGAACGAGGAGGCCTGATACTGTGACAATCTCGTGTGCCACGATCGATAAGAAAGAGATACAGTGGACGGCTTTCACTCCGCTTGGATCGTCAACGGTGCGTACTGACAATCTGACCAATATGATGATCAATATGATGGCCTTATTGTATCTGAATTTGCACGAATTGAACAGTCGCCAATCTAGTCCAAAACCTAGAGTGTTTTTTTTTTGTTATTCCATGAACGGCGGTCACTTTTCACAAATCATGGCAGACTGTTAGTTTCAGACCATTTAATTCCTGGAACTTTTAGTTTGCAAAGTTACTAAATTGCCACTTTTATGCACCGGCTTTGGTTACTACCCGGTCACTTATGCAATAGACCAAAAGGAAGAAGTACAAGCTCAGAGCAATACCAAATACATGTAAATACGGGCAGAAAATAGATCGGTCTCACGAATTCTTTTTCGTTTTTTTTTACTTCCTTTTATTGAATATACGAAGATCCAATTTTCACGAAAAGGGAGGCGACCAATCAAAGGGCTGCCATTCAACACTCAGAGAATGCGAAGTCAGGTTGTGTTGGAGGTGGGATTTGAACACACGTCCTCTGGGGTGATAATTTGGTGACGATACCACCGGGGCACTAGCGTCTAAATATCGATTAGGTTAGTTGCGAGGTCCTCAATCGGGAAGCCTAATGCGACAAGTAGAGACTTGCGTGTCATTATTGAACGTGTTGGTAACTCCGGATTCCAGACCAGTTGGTTAAACTGTTCATTAAAGAGCAAATATGGAGGGGTTGGGGGTGCAAATGATGCGCTTTTCGGCTTCAACAATAGCATTTAATCTCGAAATCTGGTTTTATTGTAATACCGGTAAGATCGAGTAAACATGTTCATCTAAAACGGAGAACGCAAGTCTTGTCTCTCTATGCAGATTAGATGAAGCGGCTTCCCTCCCGTGCAGATATGCTTTTGTTACTCCACCTCACCGCCACCGAACACACGCTATGGGCCCGCCGTGGTTGGACCGAGAACTGCNCTGCGGGTGTGTCTCCGGCAGCGGAATAAAGCCTGGTCCAGGTACCTTGCAATAGGCGCAGGATATGAGGAATATCCATGTATTCGGAATCATTGTACTGCACTACAAAAATGCAAGAGAACCAGATTCGAGGAACGACTAGCAGCGGATTCAGTACAAGCACCAAAGTGATTGTATGCCTACCTCAGGCGGAAAAATCAGAGCAATGCCTGGTCTCCCGACTCTCGCCAAAGATGGGGCACTAGCCGAAAAAGATGAGGACAAAGCAGAGATGCTGGCATCACATTATACCTCAGTGTACACCCCAGCACACTGACACATCTACTGGATACTTACACTGCGCTGAAATGGGCCCCGTCGGAGAGGTGGCCCTGGAGCTGCGTCGACTAAAGGTTCACCAGTCACCAGGACCTGATGGTGTGCATCCGCTGATCCTGAAGGAGCTGGCAGATGAACTTGCAGCGCTACTGTGCAACCTGTTCAATTTGTCATTCACTCAAGGGCGTTTACCGCGGCAGTGGAAGGACG